TACTTGGAGCGGCACATTAAGAGGTTGCACAGACAAGAAGTTTGTATTTTGGGTTTGTTGTCCATGTAGTGGTACTGCTGTTACGTACAGGAGGCTGAGATCAATTGTAGTGAAGAGTGGTTAATAAAAGCACGGTTAATGTCAGACTAAACATTTTAATATAAAAGCACTAAAAAGCCTAAACTTGATGCTTTATATTCTACAAGTTTTGCTTTTAAAAGAAAGTTGTATTTGTGCCATGCTCATCTCTTGCTATCAGGGAAGCCCTGTGGGAGCAAATGCAGAGGCTCCCTTCCAATTTAACTGTAATATTTTTTGACTGTGCTTAGTGGCAGGCTTTTCAGGAGGTGGAGGAGAGCCGCAAAGACTGCGTGATAGGGCAAGTAAGTGGCTGAGGACTCCTACTCCTACTCTTGAGAGAGATATTGAGAGATTTTTGACTGCAAGCACAAACAAGGGTGCGGGGGGGAAAATACCCCGTGTTTGACCATGTTTGTTTTAGAAAGCAAACATAGGATGCAACTGTGGGATATTGGGTGACACTTTTGCTTATTCTTCCTCTTCTGCTTTCAAATGTTTAGAGGATATGTAGGACATATGTTCTATGTTTCAGCATACTGCATATTTCCACTCAGATTTGATAAGTGACTAATATGTTAGTGTCAAAGCCATGATGATTTATGGGATGTTTGTGATTTGAACTGACTTACATGCCTGATTGTGTCATTCTTGCTTACACTACTTTGCTTAAACTAATGCGATTTCAGAGACTTTCATTGTTTGTGTAAATGCTAAAGGTGACAACTTGGCTTTGTTTTCTATTGATTTTTTTTTCTTTAAGTGAATTCTGTACATGCTTTGTGGTTATTTGACCACGAGTCTTGATGCAGTTCAGTGCAAGGCTTTTGTTTGCTTTTAGCATTGGTTGGGAGGCAGGCAAAATGCCTTTTTGTAACTGTAGCTTTGCCATAAATAACCCAGGTAGACAAGACACGTGTTGGCACCAGCAGTGCAAATATGTAACAGCTATCTCTGGCTTTGTACTGTCCACATTGAAGTCCAGGGCTACATTAATGCTTCTGAGATTAAGATTAATACTAGCATGGGAATGCATTAATTGAACACTACAACTCTCAGTCTTTCTGTGCTGATACCAGCCTAGCTGTACTGGGAGAAGTGGTGTAGTGGAGATGTTTCTTATGCTGCAGCGCTGGGTTCCTAACGTCTTTTAAATCATATTCCTGATCGTTACAGAGTTTATACCTTCAAGATTGATTTCTTTCTTTGGAATAAGCCCTGTCAGCTTTGCCACATGCGTACCATATCTTCTTGCTGCTTTTTCTGGTGTTCTCAAGATGAGCTGCCCATCAATTATTAGAGGCCCCTTAGGTCTGTTATTTGGCCATCCCAGACTTTTCTCAGATTAGCTGGGTTCTGACAGTAGGTTGAACCACTTAAGGATGCTGCATCTCTCAATTGGATTGTTACAAGCTGTACCATGAACCTGTCTAGTTCATGCTTCCACACAGAAATCTTTAACTTACTGATTTTCAGTTCTTTGCTATTTCTTTGGTCACTGCCCTTCTAGAAGTTCTTCTCTTACAGTCTTTCCCACCTTAAAATCACATTTTATTAACTTAGTTTTGTTTTATTTTGTGGTATTTGTTTGTTCTGTTTTTGTTTAGTCATTCTCAAACTATATTACAGACACTAATGTACAAAAACTGATAGGAAGAGAGCTGAGGTGGAGGGAAAAAGACAGAAACGATAGGAAAGAAATACATTTACTAGTTTTTATTCCTGTTGTTTTCCCATAATGGACTTATTTGTAAAATACTATACATAACTCTGAACTTTCTCTCCAGTAAATAATAATAAAATGTGTAGATAATAATATAAATTATATATAAATAATACAAACAATAATGAATTTGTAAATAATAATAATGAAAATAAAAACTAGGGAAATCCATTTCTAGTAAAATTAATAGAAATGGAAACATCTCAGCAAGATGCAGGTTTGTGTCCAATGAACTAAACCACATAAACTGTCTAGATGGCTGGATAAGAGAGAGCTCCTACATTTTTAACTATCCCCCTTTTCTCTTAAATCTAGCAATAAACCTTATGTCCACTTACCTCACACTGGAGAAGTACTTAAATTACAAAAACCCTACCTTTCTAGAAACAAATGACAGTTTAACAACATTTTTGAGCTGGTCATGGCATCCCCTGATATTATCTCTGTGCAATTCTGTATTTTCGCAGTTAGCTGCCAATATAACATGGAGTGATTAGTTTTATTCGTATAGTGCATATGCAATAGTACATACTATGTTTTCTACAGAACATTTTCTGCTGACAGCGCAGAGCATGGTTTAAAGCAGCCATTCTCAGATTAATTGATCCGTTCCCAGGAGCAGCAGGCGCAAGCAGGAGCTGGTGGCAGCAGGACCATGCCGCTGCAGTGCAGGGACTCGCCGCTGGAGGACGGCCGAGCCCCGCGCCCGGCCGTGCTCACCCGCTGCTGCTCTGGCCACTCACCTCGTGCTCACACAGGGAGCTGGGGGGAAAATGGGGGGAGTCTTGGTTTCTTTGCTGACTGGCTATAAAAGGGTTCCTTCTGTTTGTATTTACTGATTTTCCCACTGTAAGATCCTTCTGAGCAATACATTACTTGCATATGCTTGCCTGGTCTTAGCCAAGTCTGTCTTCCTGAGCTAGCCGACCTTGGCCCCCTAAGCTGCTTCCCAAAACCATCACAGATAAAAAGGTGGATTTTGCTAGTGCGCAGTAATAGAGAAGGTGCCTTCCAGCTGCTCTGCTATGTGTAGTAATAGAGAAGGTGCCTTCCAGCTGCTCAGCACCCAGCAAGGCTTGCCCCTTGGGTTGCTTTCAGGTGACTTTGTAGGTTTGCTCCCATATTTGCTGGTGGCAGGTAATGCAGAAGCCACATGAAGTGATTGGTGCTGTGCAGTTGAGCCAAGGTTGCTCACTGCTGTGCTGTCCCATCACAGGGCAGCAGATGGACTTCCATTATTATTTTTCCTCCATCCTCATTTTTTCATTGAATTTCTAGTCATTTTTTCACACTGTTATTTTAAAATCTGTCCTTTACTTCCTAGTTCATAGGCTTCCCTTGACCTAAAAAGGGCTTTTCTTTTTCTTTCCTTACAAATATTGAGCTAACAGGAGGACAGTTTGCTCAGGTCATTTCACCGTTGTCTCAGGCTAAAGATCAAAGCTGGGCTCCAATGGCCAGCAGTAAAGCCCTTGCCTCATCTCGTGCACTTCAGCTGTTGATCCATGTGGATTTGCTGTGGCTTGAAAAGCTGATGGACGTTAAGGAAAGCAGAAGCCGGATCCCTGTGAGGAATGAGCAGCCACATGGCCATATTTCTGGGTATTTGGTGCCCCCTGGAGACGGCTGCCACCTGCAAGGAACAGTGAATATCGCTAGTGCCTGGGCAGCACGGTGCTAAGTGACCCTAGCATGAGCAGACGAACGGAAAGAACATCCCTCTCCCTGCAGGCATGCAGAATCCCAGCAAACCAGAGCAGTAAAAGCAAGTGCGCTCTGAAATAATAATAGTGATTGGATTTCCAAAGTCTGCAAAAGACTGATAGCTTTGTGTGCCGATGTATTTTGAAAATGGATGCACAAGGCTACGCGTGGACATCTGATACTAGCATGATGTGAGATGTGTTGAGTGGAAGAGACAGCCAGGAGATGTTCTCTTGGTGGGTCTCAGGGGCCAGGAGTTAAAATAAGAAAATGTATAAGTCTCATATCAAACCTGGAATTAGATATTTATCACAAGCTTCACAAGATTATCCTTTTGTTCTGTGTTTATTATTGTTATTTTTGTGTGTGGAGGCTTGTTTCAGGGGGATGTCAGCTGTTTGAAAAAACATCCAGTTCAGAGAAGACTGGGTTGTTGGGGCAGGAGAGATGAATAAATATATTTTTTATAGAAGATGGAATGTTACATCTAAACTCCCTGTGAAAATGCTGAGCTTTAGAGCTCCTGCATGCTGTTGATGATGCAGCTGAATTTAGTTTGCTTTTCAGGAAAAAATCTCTGAAGGCCACTGGCACCTCTGAGTCCAGAAGTGGCAGTTTAAACTGAATAAACTTTAAATAGAGCCTTGTCTGTGCTCTGGGGCGCTTTCCACCCAGAGAGGGCACTGTGCTCAAGCTCATCCTGGGCTCTGCCTTCAGAGACAAGGCAGTGCCCATAAATGGGAACAGGACTGAACTGCGAGATACTCAAATATGCCTGAGTCCTTTTTTATTTCTTTTCTCTCTCTCTCTCTTTTTTTTTTTTTTTTAATGTTAGTGCAGTGTTGTTCAGAGAAACCTAAATGCAGAGGAACTGGAAGCTCCAGTGGAACTGGAGTTTGGCACAAAACAAGAACTTCAGTAGCTCAGACTTAAGTTGTTTCTTTTGCATTCTCAATTCTTCTTTCGGGGGGTGGAGGGGAAATACATCACAGTTCTTAGACTACGTTTTCTTCTTTTCTGAAGTTCAGAGTTCAAATCTATATTGTGATTCACAAAATCAGCTTTCTTATGTGTAAGGTTACATTATTTTGGGATCCTTAAAAATTATAGCACAGGATTGCTTCTGATATTGCTAAACTACATAAAATAAGTTGAACGGGGCTAATGGTGCTGTATTGCTATTGCTTAGTGACTTTCTGTTGGAGAAACAAACATGCATATCCTCCAGTCTTGTCTAGCTATTTTTTTCCACAAAACTAGTACAGATGTGGTCTTACACCAGTCAGGGTTCAGTGACTGCCTCAGTTTACAGTGCTGAGACATAAGCAAAGACTTTGCTTATGGTTCTTGGTGTATTTTCTTGAACATGGCTGCTATATCTTGCCACTGCAGAGCTGGTGGTGTTCAGCCAGGCCGTTTTTCCCTCTGTGGGGTTTGTGCTGTTCTTTAAATACTTTGGGTGATGTGCAGCATTCCCTCTTTTTCTTTTTTACAGCAGGAAGGTGCAATGGAAGGCGAGGCAGTTGAAGCTATCGTGGAAGAATCGGAAACTTTTATTAAGGGCAAAGAGAGAAAAACCTACCAAAGGCGCCGTGACGGTGGGCAGGAGGACGATGCTTGTCATATCCCACCAAACCAGGCAGATGGGGGTGAAGTAGTTCAGGATGTCAATAGTGGCGTGCAGATGGTGATGATGGAACAGCTGGATCCAACGCTGCTTCAGATGAAGACTGAAGTAATGGAAGGTGCAGTGCCCCAGGAGGCGGAGGCTACAGTGGATGACACACAGATCATCACGCTTCAGGTTGTTAATATGGAAGAGCAGCCTATAAATCTTGGAGAGCTTCAGCTAGTCCAAGTACCTGTGCCAGTGACTGTACCTGTTGCCACCACTTCTGTGGAAGAACTGCAGGGAGCGTACGAAAATGAGGTTTCTAAAGGAGGCCTGCAGGAGGGAGAGCCCATGATCTGTCACACTCTCCCTTTACCAGAAGGCTTCCAGGTAGTGAAAGTGGGTGCAAATGGTGAGGTGGAGACACTGGAGCAAGGTGAACTTCAGCCCCAAGAGGATCCCAATTGGCAAAAAGATCCAGACTATCAGCCACCAGCCAAAAAAACAAAGAAAAACAAAAAGAGTAAACTCCGCTACACGGAGGAAGGCAAAGATGTGGATGTGTCTGTGTACGACTTTGAAGAGGAGCAGCAGGAGGGTTTGTTGTCCGAGGTCAATGCTGAAAAGGTAGTGGGCAACATGAAGCCACCTAAACCAACAAAAATCAAAAAGAAAGGTAAGTCTGCATATTGGTTTCTGAACTCTACTTGTTACGACTGCGCCTTGCAGCATGGTAGAAGTGACTGAGTAGATGCAAGTGGGAGTAAACCCAGTGTCACCATTTTATGTAAGAGCTCTCAGCTCTATTATTTTCTGGGCAAACCTGCTCTCTCCTGCATGTAGACTTACAAAGGAGCTCATTTGCCTCGAGTGTGATGCTGCAGTGTTAGTATTCCCATATCATTGTGGTTGAAAAGATTCTGCTTTTTGCTGTAATGCATATTCAAGAGATTATACATAAATTTTACATCAGGAACCAACAGTATAATTAGCTTGGGGTGAGGGGTTCCTACCAAACACTTGTGTAGAGGGGATGGCACAAAATCCAGCAATATATGTGTTTGACATTTCGTCTTTGGAAACTTAAAACTGTAAATCAAGGAACACTTTTTAGATTGGAGCAAGGGCATTAATTGCTGGCATACAAAAATTCAAGACAAGCTAATCTTTGCCTGTGTTCCTGACAGGAAATGCAGTTGGATTTAATGGGGCAAAACAGGATTTAACGTCCAGGAATTTTTCCTTCTCCCCCCTGACCTCTAATTAATACAGTAGATGATGGTCCTTCCAAAAATAAATGTGATTTCCTTCATGGCTAGGTGTAAAGAAGACATTCCAGTGCGAGCTGTGCAGTTACACTTGTCCCCGCCGTTCCAACTTGGACCGCCACATGAAAAGCCACACTGATGAAAGACCACACAAGTGCCATCTCTGTGGCAGGGCTTTTCGGACAGTCACGTTACTGAGAAACCACCTCAACACTCACACAGGTACTGCTGCCTTTGCCTACATCCTTTTAGTAGCTTCTGCTCTATCTTTAGCATAAAGACAGGTTAGGCCTATCCTGAATCTGTCCACTCTTTCTTATGGGACAAGCTAGAATGGAAGAAACTATGCAGTGCTGCTCTCTTTTCTATGAGAGCAGTTTTCATCTGATCGCATAAAGTATAAAGCTCTTCCTATATGTAGATACAAAACTGACCCTGGGGTTGATCGGAAATTACTTGACGCTAGAGAGAATGAGCATTTAGGGCCCTCAGTTTGTTGTGTCCTGAGGTGAGTGCTGCTGTTGCTCCCTGTGCAAAAGTAAGGGGAGGCTGAGCTAAAAAGGGAGATGGGAGGGAAGAAGGATGGGGGAAGGGAATAGATTATAAACTGGACCAGTAAAAGGTGGAAGAATGAAAGCACGTTTCTACTATTCCTTACTTAGGTTAAGTTGCTGTTATAAATCTTACCTAATGTAGGAGTAATTCGGGAACTGTAATAAAATTTAAGCAATATTCTTGTGACCCTTCTGCCAAAAAAGTCTAATTCATACCCTTAGCTTTCTTTTCATCCCACTGCTTTATCTAACTGATTGCTTTGTAATTTGCAAATAACCAGGTGATAAGAAAATGAGGGAGTTTGTTTCCCCATTAGAGGGATGTGAAGTCTCTAGTGATCTCTTCAGTCCCCTGATTATTTATACAAAAGCTCTTACTCCTGCGCACGGTTTTCTGTTGTAATCTTATCTTTCAGAATGCAGAGGGAATGTTGTTGATTCATTTTAAAAAAAGGCAAAAAGAAAGCTGTCGTACTCTTTTTTGTCACTAAATCTGAACGTTGTCGTCCTTGTTTTGCTAACGATTAGGTACTCGCCCTCACAAGTGCCCAGACTGCGATATGGCCTTCGTGACCAGTGGAGAGTTGGTTCGACATCGCCGTTACAAACACACCCATGAGAAACCCTTCAAATGTTCAATGTGTGACTATGCTAGTGTGGAGGTATGTTAGTTACCTGCTACAGCTCTGAGGAGGTGCTCGAGTGCGTCAAGATCTGTTACAAACCTAGGCATTTCCTCCTTGGCCAAAACACTCTGAGTAAAAAATGGTTATAAATTAGCTCTGTTCTTAGAAGTAAGTGGCAGGGTTTCCTTGGTTTATGAGAAACGTGTTTCAGGGCAGAAACATGCACAGAAACCAGAGATGATTTCCATCCTTTCCTTCTTTGCAGCCAATAGTTGTTTTCAGTTTTTAAAATCGGCTGCCACCTTCAGCTCCTTTACTCATCCTAAAGGACTGCTATCTGCTGAGTAGGATCTACTTTAAGCCTAGAGGTGCTCTCTATTTTAAAAATGCACTTTGCTTCTTGCATATTTGCTGATAAAGTGACTTGCCAAGTTGAATAGCATTTTTCTCACAAATTAGTGAAAAACAACTTTGTTAATTCTAAGGTATCATCTAATTTGCTCAAGGAAATTAAGTGTGCTTGGATGTTCTTCCCCCTTCTCCCTTGGCAGCACTGTTGCTTATGTTGCAGGGCAGCTTTTAAAATGTAAAAAAAAAAAAAAAAAAAAACCTGCAAGATGGGGGTAGGAAATTTGAGCGAAGTGATGAGCAATATAATTAAAAATACCGAAGTAGAAAATGTTTTCTATTCATGTCTGTGCTAACCCTTGAGCTGAGTTCTTGCCTTCTAGATAACAGCAGATGAGTGAAAGGGTTAAGTCACCCTGTCTGTTTTAGGAAGGGGGTTTTTTGTTTTTCTTGTTGAGTTATTTTGAGGGAGAAGGTAAATCAGTAACTGGAGGGGACCCAAGGTAGCACTCTGTGGACAGACACTACCTGTCCTGCAGTGTTCCTTGGCTGCATGCTTTGCTAGGACACTTTTTTGTGTGTTTCCAAGATACATTAAAATTTGAAAATATCTTCTGATGTTGAGATGGATGATACTGCTGCATTGAATGTGGGAACGAGCATCAGTCAAGGCTGGGAACGTGTTTGGGAGGTGGAATAAAGCGGGAAGGTGGGGTTATGAGTGGTTACATGCAGTGCAAAATTGTCATTAAAATAGGTTTGTTATCTGGCTACCGAAGCAAAATAGGTTGCTTTAAAATTCTTGACTGATGTCTTGTACTTTTGGAAATCTGACCTATTCATTGGGGCTAACTGTAGTCTTGCTCTTGGCTTTCAGGTTAGCAAATTGAAACGCCACATTCGCTCTCACACTGGAGAGCGTCCGTTCCAGTGCAGCTTGTGCAGCTATGCCAGCAGGGACACGTACAAACTGAAGAGGCACATGAGGACCCACTCTGGTATTGATGCATGGTGTCTGGGTGCTGGGACAGTGCATGATGATGCTAAAACTCTTAGCAAAATGTGGTAGTCAAGTTTAATATTAAATCTTCATAAAGGTTGTGGCTGAAGAGAGTAGGCAGCCTATCAGCATTAGTAAATTCATAAATTGACCATAGTGACTGCACTAAGAAATGTGCTGCAGGATTCTGATTTTTGGTTTCCCTGTGAGGTGACAAATACAAGCCCTTTTTTTAGTAGGAAGATAAATTTCTCTTTTGCTGTTCATGGTCAACTTTCATTGAAGGTTATGGCAATTTTTAGTTTCATGCTTGAGTGCAGCTGCATCAGCATCTGATGGATGCAGTTGGTGAAGATCCTTATTTTTTCTGTAATAGAAATAGAATTTTTTAACTCAGAACACTGCCAGTGTGCTAAGCTAATGATTTGCTAATATTTAATGGCAGAAGTATTATTGTATGTATGAGCATTCCACAGAAAAAAATCTGATTGTTTGCACTGTTCCAGCAGTCTGCATGTAGGTCTTGTACTTAATTCTCATTGTAAGGACTCATACCCCATTTGCTTAAGAGTGAATGTGTTTTGTCCCCATAGAAAGATATTTACAGGAACTAAAATTTCTTGAGAAAGAAATATTACTGAGCTGTTCGCCACAAGTTTCTGGGAGGTTTTTGTGGGGCTTTTTGATTAGATTTCTTGATAAAAATACTCACGCTATGGTTTTTTTTTTTTTTTTTTTTTTTTTTTTTTTTTTCCTTCCTTTACTGTAGGAGAGAAGCCATATGAATGTTACATCTGCCATGCCCGTTTCACTCAGAGTGGTACCATGAAGATGCACATTTTACAAAAGCATACAGAGAATGTGGCCAAATTTCACTGTCCTCACTGTGATACTGTTATAGCAAGAAAGAGTGATCTGGGTATGTATCTCAGCAGCGAGGTCATTAGTGAAGTTAGTGCAGAAGATTACACAGAACACATCTTCCCAGAATTAGAGCTCATATAACCCAACAGCTGTCTGTCTCTCTTTTTCTCTCTCTCTCTCTCTCCCTCTCCCTCTCTCCCTCTCTCCCTCTCTCTTTAACATGATCTCTTTAACTGCAGAGGCTGCAAGCTTAAATATGCAGCTGGTTATACACACATTTAGCTTATGATGACTGCTGCATGCTATGAGAATTTTCAGTTTGTTTTCATTATTTGAAAATGCAGCATTTTTTCCAAGCATACAAGGCAAGTTATTTTCATGTCCATAGATGCTAGGCATTTGTTGAACCTAGACTAATCAGTATTTTAATTCTGTATGAGTTAAGGTCTGAGAAATTAGACAGTCGTTTTGACCTCCTATATTTTGGAGGCCATTAATTGTCACCCAGATGCATCTTCATCAAGCTAAAAGGCTTGAATTAGCCACAACAATTTCATTTTTCAGGAAGTGGAGCTGTGTGCCACAGACAGAATAGGAGAGGCTGAGTTGTCACAAAAGCCCTGAGTCCTTGCAGTAGGAGAGTGTTGACCTGGTGAGCAGTTCCCCATGATACCAGCAGGCAAGCTCTCTTTTATGATATATGAGAAGGTGGATAGTATCACTCCCAGAGCAATTTAAGATAATCTTTCTCAGTGAAGGAAAAGCTGAGGTTTGGCATAACTCTGTCTATAAGCAAAATATCAACTAAGTAAAGGGAAGGCAGTTTTTCCTCCATGGAAAACAAATGTAAAGCCCCATAGTGAAGGGGATGACAGGCAGTTGGCATGAAGTATCTGAAGTAACAAGAACTGAGCTATAACAGGAAAAAATGAGCTTTGCTGTGAAGACTTTTTCTTTTGGTAATGTTGATTTAAGCTACAGCCAGCTACCTTGTGCAGGTGTGATATGCTCATATTTGGAGGATTTTAAAGTGATTAAAACCTGTGATAGGAATTAGCTGTTGGTACCCTTGCTGTTCTGTAGCCATGTCATTCTGACTTCTAATCCTGTTTTCCCAATGTGTTCACTGGTTTCTGGCTGAATTCAGGCAATTCAGAGTAGTCTTAAGCGTCTTGTGGACAGTGCTATGTTTTACCTTGACTTGGCTCTGTGTTGCATGAACTTTGCTAGCAGAAATTCATGTTGTTCTGTCTTCCAAGAGAATCCTTACACTATCTGAAGCAGTTGTGGTCATTGATCTGCTATGTTTTTGAGATGGATTTTTGAAAGAGTTGATACATTAACAATTTAAGAGGCCTGCCACATTTTGCAGATAATGAATTTTCAATATAAATTCAATGGTGTAACATCAAATGCTTTATCAAATACAAGTGTGTCAGCCCAGATTACTGATATTAACCAAGTTTAGAATCCTCTAGAAGAATTCACTATGCTTTTGACTAGACCTTTGTGTCAGTAAGTTATGTGGCTGCCATTAATTGTAAACCTCTTCATTTTTTGATAGAATCCCAAATTAACAGCTCCCTTTTCTCACCTGAGCTGAAGGGTACCCGCAGGGAAAAATGCTGAGAGGTTGTTTGCTAGGCTCTTTCATGCTTGCGTGGCTGTGGTGTGATTAAAGGCTCTGCTTCTTGCACTCCCAGGTGTCCATTTGCGAAAGCAGCATTCCTACATTGAGCAGGGCAAGAAATGTCGCTACTGTGACGCCGTGTTTCACGAGCGATACGCCCTCATCCAGCATCAAAAGTCCCACAAGAATGAGAAGCGCTTCAAGTGTGACCAGTGCGATTACGCGTGCAGGCAGGTAAGCTGGTGGGGCTGACACCCCTTAAGAATATTAGAACAGGAGCTAAACACCGAAGATAAAAAGAATTAAAGAGCTAACACCAATTTTGATGGCCGTTCAAACTAAAAAAAATTAAAGGCATGGGTAAGCTTAGTGGCCTCTGCTTCCTAGTGAAGTTTTTCTCTGTAGAAAGTATATTTTAAATATGCTCATGCGTACCATCTTTTCCTGGATGTTGCCCTTAGATTAAAGTGTTTGGCCTTGTCCTGGCTGTGAAAGTACATTTTTTTTCAGCAGTCTTTATCTGTGAGTTTTCAAGTTATCCTTCTCTCATTTGTCCCTACCAGGAGCGGCACATGATCATGCATAAACGGACCCATACTGGAGAAAAGCCTTACGCCTGCAGCCATTGCGATAAAACCTTCCGTCAAAAGCAGCTCCTTGATATGCACTTCAAACGATACCACGATCCCAACTTCGTCCCTGCCGCGTTTGTGTGTTCCAAGTGTGGTAAAACGTTCACTCGCAGGGTAAGGGACCATACTGTTGAGCTCTGCTTTTTGGTGAATGAGATTTTGGAGAGGGGAGCCAGGTTACCCAAAGAGACGGGTAGCTGGAACACAGAGCACAACACTGGTGTTTTAAAGGACAGCACTTGTTTCTTTCTGAGAAAAGGTTCTCACATAATTCAGCACTGATGATGGCATATGCCAACAATGGCCTAATGGGTAAACTCAACCTTATGAGTAAAAGCTAGCAAAAAACTTGCCTATATTTATTAAATATTCTTCCTTCACAAAGAGGAAAAGGAGACAAGCTCCTGGAAATGTCTGTGAATAAAGGACCCAAATATCTGATCTCCATTTCAATTCATGCTGTTGTGTTTTCTTTTTTCTTTTTTTTTCCTTTTTTTTCCCCTCCCACCCCCCTACCTTAAACAGAACACAATGGCCAGACACGCTGATAACTGTTCTGGCCCAGATGGTCGAGAAGGAGAGAATGGAGGAGAGACAAAGAAAGGCAAACGTGGCAGAAAGAGGAAGATGCGCTCTAAGAAAGAAGATTCTTCTGATAGTGGTAAGAAACAGCTCAGTACATTCTGAGAGTTTGACAGGTCTGTGATTCACAGTTCTTGTTGTTAATTTGCTGGATCTGCAGGTTTGTTCTGATATCTGAAAGGCTTTTATCTAGTTGGTAAGAAAAAACTGAGAGCATATGGCCCAGTACAGAGAGGACTCTCTTATTTCAGAAGGATGGTGTGGATTGTGCTGTCCTGGATTTCTTCCAAAACTGAGTAGTTAATAAAAATGCTGTGACTGTTACTCCTTGTCTAGGCTATGCAGTTCTGTCCCGCAAGCTCTTCTGTGTGCTAAAGATTAAAATACCAGACTATGTACTCTTAAGTCATGTTGTCCCTTGCTTTGATCCGTCTGCTGCTGTAGTAGACAGATGGTTGATACTAATTGCAGTGTTCAGGAACTGCCACCCCAGTAGCTGATCTGCTTCACAGAAGTCAAAGATGGTGCTGCTGGTTTTTGGGGAATGGGAGACTTGTTGGATCACCCTTAGATTTCTGGAGTGTTTCATAGAGATGCTGAAATCACTGCCATCAAGTGAAATCATGTTTTCTTTCCTTTTCTGGTGGCAATTTGTTCCCTTTAATGTGAGAGTAACAGGCTGACAGTCTGTGCCACCAGCTTCTCAGCGAAGGCCTCATTTTTCTTCTCTTTCTTTAGTCAGATCCCTTTAATTGAGGATTAAGTAACAGTTCTTTGTAGGTGGATGTATTTATCTTCTTTAGACTAACTTACCTGATTTTTTTTTTTTTTTTTACCCTCCCCTCCCCCCTTATTCTAGAGGAAAATGCTGAACCAGATTTGGATGATAATGAAGATGAAGAGGAGACAGCAGTAGAAATTGAGGCTGAACCAGAAGTTGAGCCAGAGGCTCCTGCACCACCTCCTAGTAAGAAACGAAGAGGAAGACCGCCCGGCAAAGCTGCCACCCAACCAAAACAATCTCAGCGTAAGTCCCTACTTGCAGCTTTTGTTATAATACTTGTTGGAACAGCTTCTTCCTTAGATTTGGAAGTTCTTGTGAGAGAACTGTTCCCCTCAAATGAGGTTAGGTAAAAAGTAAATACCTGCACTTGCGTTTAAAAAGTGTTTAAATAATGTCTCATGTAATCCTATAGGCTTTTTGATAATGTTTTTACGCTAGCACATCTTCATACAGAAGCTAGGGAGGCAGGGACTTGATAATTTGGTATATGAGAGGCAGGTTGAATTATTCTCTGCTGAGGTGAAAATGTCTTCATTGGGAGCCCCTCCTTCCCTTTCTATGCAAAAGTCTCTACTATAAAAGCCATCTGAGAAACAGTTAAAAAGAAAATAATCTGTCATTTCCTTCTTCCCCACCATCCCCTCTCTTGTTTTCTGCTCTTCTAGCTGCAGCAATCATTCAGGTTGAAGACCAGAACACTGGTGAAATTGAAAATATTATAGTTGAAGTAAAGAAAGAACCTGATGCAGAAACAGTAGAGGAGGAGGAAGAAGCTCAGCCTGCTGTAGTGGAAGCTCCGAATGGAGACCTCACTCCTGAGATGATTCTCAGCATGATGGACCGGTGATGGAAGAACACCACGCTGGATGACTGAACTGGCCTGGGCTGTGTTTAAGCGGCTCAAATCTATTTTTTCCTTTTACCTTTTTTTCTTGGCTTTGGGAAATGCATCATTTTAGACCATTTTACCAAACATACTGGGAAATAAAACTTCAAGATGATGTTAGAATGTGATTTAACTAGAACTTGCTGTTTTATGTTAGCATTACAGGATCATGGAACATTTAGGAAATATTTTGGAGTCCTTGAGGGTTTCCTATGAGACGCTTGATTAGTTTTGCTCTGAACTGCATTGTAAAGCTGGTCCAAGGACTATGTTTACATGCAACAAGTTTTAATATACAAAAATGGAAGCCTTGACCAGAGTATGTGGTAAACCACTCCGGACTTGCCCTTCCAGTTCCCAGAGTCCTTGAGCCTCCTTTTCTCAGTAGTGTTTTTAACTGTAAATGCAGCCTTGGGAGGGTTCTAGACTTTTAAAATGTTTTTGCTTTTCCCCACCAACTAGTTCCGGTTCTCCAAGTCAGCTGCACACGGTAGTTTTGGCATGCTCCAACTGGTCTCTGTCCTTAATATGCTTTGCTTTCTGCAAAGCATTTCTGTAATGGTCAAGCTTGTAAATAACTTTTTTTTTTACATTTTAATCTTTTTCCATTAATTAAGAGGTATGCAAAAATGCAGTTTAAATAAACCCCAGTATTTTAATTCCTTTCAAACTTAAGTGACAAGAGAATTGATGAAGTGTAAATGTTGGAAAAGCTGTTGATAACCGATCATGTAGAGAGAGGTACCCAGACTGCTCCTTGAAGAACAACAGGAACCCACCTGTGAAATCTGGTTTTGAAGCACACAGAACTGGCATTTGGAACCTGTATAATTAACCTTCTTTTCAAGTTATAATTTTACGACTACATTTTTCTTTGCTCTATCTTGTAGTTGTATTTTGTGTTTATGAATCCTATGTTAAGGCAGAAGTGGTGGTTTATAAGTGGGTCACTGCAGCCCTCAAAACCTGGGCCAGGAAATATTAATAGGTCAGTAATTATACAATTTTGGATCTCTAATAAAGACAAAGAATAATGTGAAATACAAATGATGCCTGTATATGAACTGTCACATGTTAAAATATGTAAGCTTTTTATAGAGCCTCAGTCTTGCTGATTTCAAACAAATTTTTCTTCTATGTATCGCTTTTAAGAGAGCTATCAGTTTAGCTATCAGACCCTAGGTTGATGCATTTTTGTACTTAGCTGTACCGTGTGATATTTTTCATTATTTTAGGAAGCCAACATGGGAAAAAACTGTTATAAAATATGTAATGGGGTTTGAAAGCTGGGAAGGAGAATATACTGCTGTACAGCTAATAAATAATAATGGATTAATGTGTGTGCTTATCGACTGCTTTCTTTGTATTTAGTAACTGCTTGTCCTGGCAGCAAGCTCCAGACTGCACTCTCTTCCTTGTAGAAAGATGTTTCAGGAATG